CCGGGCGGGCGCGGCGGGACCGGGGCCGGCGCGCGGGGCAGGGGCCGAGGGGCGACTGGGAGGAGGGCCCTGCGAGTGAGGTCAGTCGCCTCTCCCGGGCCACTTCCACGGCTCGCCGCAGCCTGTGCCTCCGGAGTTATGTTTGGTTACCGAGCTCCGCGCTGCCAAATTGCGCCGGGGTTGATTTGGGGGCTGGGAATTTGCCATTCCGCGGTACAGACACTGGGTGTTTTTAAAGCAAGGTTTGTTTTCATTTTGGTTTCTGTCGGGTTTTTTCCTCGTTTAACTCACTTTTCTATTTTTACTTTTCTTAACCTGAAGACCTTGCATGATCCACCTCTTCACTGTGCTTTGAACCTTGATTTCCTATTATATAATTTATGCTGAAATCGCACCAGGGTTGGTTGGCGCGGGGTGGGGGTGTTCTTGTGTAAATGCAAGTCTTTTTTTTTTTTTTAAGACTCTTTCCTTGCTTAACCGATCACAGTCTGTTTGTACTATTTAAAAAGAAGCGTCCTGAACCCTGAACATCCCTCTCTAGTTTCTCGATCAAACCTATTCCTCCTCCATAAATGATTCAAATGGCAATTTTAGTGAGCGAAAAACTAGTACCGGACTTGCAGCGTCAGCGTTTGGGAGCTGCTAATCGGCAAATAGGCTCTGAGGGCGTGTAGCTTCGCCCCCTTGCATTTTTGCTGGATTCTAGCTCTTAGAAACATTGTTCGATAGTTTCCTGAGCTCCACGCTGTGTGTCCTTGGTTGTATGGCTCCACTACACGTGCGAGTAAGGTAGCTGGGGCTCTGCGGCCGGAGCTGCATGTTGCCTCGAGGCCGGGCAAACATCTACTGAGTGAGGTCCAGGAAACAGGATGGTTTCTCCGGAGTAGCTACCTCCTCAGTTTCTGCAGACGCAACCTCATAGGCAGCCTGCTTTGCCTTCCTGTGCCTCAGTTTCCTCAGTTTCCACACTGCGGTTACACAGTCTCTGGTCTCAGAGGCTTGTGCAGATAAGTTAATGTAATACACTGTGAAGATGAAAAACGCGTAGGCTCAACTTCCCCTTTAAGGAATCACTTACCCTTCAAGATTCACGATGTCACCGTCTGATAAAGTGATAAAGTTTATGCTCAACTGATAGAATTGCTGCTTGGCATTACTTTGAAATTCACCTTATACTAAAACAAAGTAATGATTTAATCTCCTGATAGTGGTGTCAAGGGGAAGTTTTCAGTTTTTGTTGGGTTAGGCCCCCTAACTCTGTTTCCTTCTGTGGCACTATTTACTTTTTAGCTTAAGCTTTTTAATATGATTCCAGTTGAGGTGAACTGTTTTAAGAATGTGGGGATGTTTTTGTGTAAATTGTATTATATGGGACTTAAAAGCATGAATTTGTTTGCATTCCTTATTCTATTGTTTTCTTGTCCCTGCCTCCCCTGCCCCCTCCTATAGCTGGATGTGTGTGGTTAAACTGGATATGTAACAGGGCGAGAGCTGTGTCAGTCTTCAGGTTCAATATTCTGACCCCCTCCTTCTCCTCATTCTCCTTTCTTTCCTTCGCTCCTTCCTTTTCCCTCCCCTTCTCCTCCCTCCCTTCTCTCTCCTTTTCTCTCTCTTTCTTTTTCTTTCTTTCTTTCTTTCTTTCTTTCTTTCTTTCTTTCTTTCTTTCTTTCTTTCTCTCTTTCTCTCTTTCTTCTCTCTCCCTCCTTCCCTCCTCCCTTCCTCCCTTCCTCCCTTCGTTCTGTCCTTCCTTCCTTGACAAGGATCTTGTTACGTAGTCCAGGCTGGTGCCTTGAACTCACTGTGTAACTCAGATTGGCCTTGAACCCCTGGTGATCCACTTGCCTTAGCTTCCCAAATGCTGGATAGGCATGTACCACTATACCAGGCTTCCTAACTCCTTATAAGAAAATAATAAATCATCTACAAGTAACTGGAAATGAATAATAAAGTTAATTAAGAGGTTAAACTTACAGCATTTCTGCTTTTTGACACTGTTGAAAAGTGCTGCTCAGAGGGGAAAAGACTTCTTTAGAGAATTTGCAAAGCGGTTAAAAGACCAGCAGATGGAGAACAGTTTTGCAGGTAATTCAGAGATGATATTGTTTTGCTGCAGGTAAGAGAACTAAGTAGCTTTAGTCATTGCCTTAATTTTCTCAGAAGTATTTATCCAGCTGCCTCACCTCTCCCCTTTCAAGGATAAGGAGGGGAAACCAGGAAATAGGACCCAGAAGAAAAAAAGAAATGCTTGTCTACCAGCTTTACAGCACCAAGAAGCTTGGTGATTCCACTGAGCAACTCTAATTTAATCCTTAGCTTCCCTGGCTCCCCAGTCCTAAGTTTTACTTTATAGCCACTGGTTGGCATTTCTAAGAAAGAACTTTGAAGAAGAAAACGACGTGGATTTTTATACTAGTAAACCATTTCTCTAGATTATCTCTCAAATTGTTAGAGCAGGGAAAGACATTTTTAAGGGAAATACTCAACTAAATGTAACTAATATTTTACATTTCTAAAGATCAGTCTCAAAATTTAAGGGGACTGAGAAAAATTATTCTTTTTATTATTTCACTATAGGGTGTCCAGAATATTAAACTTGTTACTATCTGTCCTTTACCCAACCACCAACCCTATTTTAAAAAAAAGGAATATGATCAGTGAAATTCTGTATCATAACCCCAGGATCTGTGAGACCGTTATCATTAAATAAGGCATTTTAGCATTCAGGTACATCACATTCCACTTTTATTGAGCAGATAGTTTTTTTCATTGTCCAATAAAAAGTTTTTATTAGATAGTCTGTTCTTGCTTATAGGATTATGCAATCAAGAGGCCAACGTGCTTAAGACTTTGTATCTAGTACCTTAAAGTCCAGCTGTGGTTGACTTATTAATAACAAGTGCCTTGTTATCTAATGGCTATCCCAGATCACACTTCAAATGTAGAATCGGTTTCTACTTTCTCTGGTGCCTCAGTTTTCCCAGAACTCATTTTCAGGGAATTGTGTGCATTCAACAAAGATTTTAACAGTAAGCGCATTTCTGAGCAGTCTCTTCATCTAGAAACTAAATTCTACCATTAATATCTACTGAGTCATAAATAAATAATCCATTTTTTTTTTCAGTTGAGATCTTCTGTACAGCTCTGTAGAAGAACTGGAGGGCTTTTTGTTTTGTTTTGTTTTGTTCTTTTAAGCTCTGGTCAATGGTTTATAAAAAATCACTAGACCTTAAAAGAAATGATGAAATTCAATATTTTGGCTTGTGCGCTCTTAATTTTCTACCCTAAATTTCTGTAATAAATGTAAAATTGCTTTTGATGCATGATTATACAATTATATTTGTATGTTTGTGTAGGCTTGGGTCAATTACCTGATTTCTCTGTACCCCAGCTTCTAAAATACAGAAATTGAGCCTCGTGTGGTGGCGCACACCTGTAATCCCAGCACTCAGAAGGCTGAGGCAGGAGGATTGCTGCAAGTTCGAGACCAGCCTGGGTTACAAAGTGAGCTCAAGGCCAGCCTGAACAGCATAGTGAGACCCTGTCTCAAGACAAAACAAAAAAAGAAAAAAAATATATATATATATATAAATTAAATCTTATCTGTTAATAAATGTTAGATGAATTAAAATATATAGAACATTAAGACAGAACATTAAGAGCTGCAACTGGCGCATGGAGAGAGCTCAGTAAAGTTAGCTATGATAGTAGAAGTACTAACGTTATGAATTAAATACAAGTTAAATATATACCTTAACAGTTGATACCTTGACCGGCAAGGTAGAAGTTTTTCCTAATCAAATGTCTCTTTTTTTTTTTCTTTAAATCACACAAACATTGATGCAGTTAACATTTTCACTCCAGGGTGTAAACCAGTGACTTTTTGGTCCAATAAATGATCATTTTCAGAATGTTGTCTAACCGGTTAAGCAGGAGTAATCTTCCTGAGCTTTAAAAACAAATGTTTTTACAACTGAAATAAACTACTTTAAATATTTATTCTTTGGAGGTTTTATTTGTATTTGTATTTCAAATTATTGCTTAGCCAAAACCTCAATGTATTAGTCATTGATTTTTGAGCTTATAAACCCCTGAAGCAATATGCAAAATTAACCTTCGACATCAGTCCAGAGTTCAGAAGGGTGAGTTTAAAACTTTCTTAACGACAGTACAGCAATTACTTGCTCATGAGCTTTTAAAGTAATACTACTTGAGTGTATAACCAAGTCTTCATTTAATTTTGTTAGAATCTTCAGTGATACATGAAAAAAGAAAAAAAAAGGTTGTGACTGAGACCTGCCAAATTCTTAAGGCTCTATACTTTTTGCTTTCAGAGTCAAAATTTTGACTTTTCAGCATAAAACTTATTTCTAATTTAAAGTCATCTTTCATTTTGATCCAGCACATTGAGCTTTTGTAAAATTATGTACAGATTTTCTTTTTGTCCATTTATTTGTTGTTATTTGTATTTTATTTTTGCAGATTTTAGGTGATGGGAAGATCCGAAAGTCAGATGGATATAACTGATATCAACACTCCAAAGCCAAAGAAGAAACAGCGATGGACTCCACTGGAGATCAGTCTCTCAGTCCTTGTTCTGCTCCTTACTATCATTGCTGTGACCATGATAGCTCTCTATGCAACGTACGACGGTGAGTTCCTCCCACACCTATGTAGTCCTCATGCGAAAGGGGAGCAGACCTTCATCTTATCCTTCTATCATGCAGCTAACAAATGTGTTAAGTGTAGAGACACATGAATGATACAAAGATTCGCGTATAAAATGTTAAAAGTATGTTAAAACAGTGAACTTTGACTAAAGTACAATGTCTTTTATGTTTAGCTAAGTTATTAATTGCCAAATATGCTTAGTGCACGTGTGTTTATTTTATGAGGATTCTAATGTGCAATTTTATTTGATTAAAGTATACAGAGTTTTATGACCAACTTCAGTAATAGTCATCAGGCAATTTTTGTTGTGTCATTGAAATTCTAAGAACCTTCACAAGAATTTACGAAGTCTAATTGGAGGCTTAGAAGTTTTCACAATAGGGATTAGTAAAGATTGGTTCTTTAATAGGAAACAATGATTACTGAAGGATTGCTGCAACGACTGATTACTTCAATTTGATAGGCTTGGGGCCCGTTTTGTAGAGATGATAGCAACAGTTTCTCTTCATAATCAAAGTCAAATGTAAGATTTTCCTATTTTATTCCCCTGTATTATGTTCTAACTACTAATAATGATACATAATACTTAATTTTTAGTTCTTACTTTAAGAAGTTGCTTATTTATTTGGTAGTTTTTAAAGAAAAAAGATAAAGAGAAATTTGAAAACCTGTATTGTGAATATTTATACATGCACCTTTGTTTTCCTAGATGGTATCTGCAAGTCATCAGATTGCATCAAATCAGGTATGACATTGTTTTACATTTAAAAGTTTTATAATTAAACTATAACATTTAAGAATCCAATGTTAATAGATCTCTACATTTGCTTTTTTATACTCTATGTTCTCACTTTATGGTCAAGGGAATTAAAAAATATGTATGTATGTATTTATTTTGGTTTTTTGTTTTGTTTCGTTTTTCTGAGACAGAGTCTTGCTATATAGTTCAGGCTAGCTTTGAACTCACTATGTTGCCTGGGCTGGCCTCAAACTCTGGATAATCCTCTGGCCTCAGCCTCCCAAGTGCTGAGATTACAGGCTTGCACCACTATGCTCAACTCAAAATATATTTAAGCAATAGATTCATTCTCATATTCTAAAAAGTAATTCACTGGCTGCCCTAGAATCTATGGTAAGGTGGTAAAGAACTGTACTTTTGTTTATATGGAGCTTGCCGTGTAATTGGAGAAAGAAAATGGACACATCAGTGGTGAGCACATAATTAAGTACTAAATGATTAAAGAGGTGCAGGCCAAGGGCTGATATGTATTTTCTGCCACGAAAAGCTGGCAGAAAAGTTGAGATTTGGAAAGAGCCTTCAGGTGGGCTAAGATCTGAAAGGGGGAATTCTAAACAAGGAGGAAAAATAAATGGGAAAAAATCATGCTATGGAAAAGCAGTAAAGGTATAAGCCTGACAGACAGGGGCACATTATAGAAAGCCTTGAAAATCCGTGGGTAGCCTTACTGTAATAGAGAAGAAGCAGCTCTTTTTTTGACAGCGGAATGATCAAGCACATGTTGAAAGATGGCTGTGGGAATGCTGGACTGGATAGACTGAGAGAAGCCGGAAGTGTGGGAGGGGAGGAAGTGGGGCTGCCGCTGTGAGGCAGGATTCCGCCAGGAGCCCTCCTTGTGGGGTGCGACAACAGGAAGGGAGCACGGGATAGCTCCACAGAGCTGACTTGTTTCATGAATGGAGGGTGTGAATGAGTAGAAAATGATGTCACATTTTAAACATCCAAGGGATTGAGGAGGACGGTAGCAGCCCATCAAGAAACAGAAACAGAGAAGGTAGGAGGTGAATTTGGATGTGTTTGGTCTGGGCTGGGAGTGACATCCAAGTAAGGGTACACAGCAGGAAAGCAGAGGCGAGGTGCAAAAAGCTGGAATTGCGATCGGAATCTGTCAGCTTGTGGGTGACGATGGAGTCTCCAAGCTCCCAAAATGAGGGAAGAAGTACAAGGGCCGAATTTAAGATGACATCAATAATTTGGGTAGAAGCCGGGCTGGGGATTTAGCTCAGTGGCACAGTGCCTGCCTGGCAAGCGCGAGGTCGTGAGTTCTATTCCAGGTACCTGAAAAAAAAAACAAACAAAACAAAACAAACAAAAACTTACAAAATAATTTGGGTAGAAGGAAAATAAAAGAAAGGGAAACAGAGAAGTGTGTGGAGCTGTGCACGTCATATCAATTAGAGTGTGGTGACAGGAATGGCAAGAGCAGTTGTTTTCAGGGAGAAGGAAGATGGTAGCTGGGTACAGCATCCTGGAATGTGATACATTATTTATGCCCCTTTACCATTTTTCGTTGGATGTTCTTATCTAGCTGTCTGTCATTCACTAAACTTTGCAAGATAATGATTGAAAAATACTTAGAAGTTCAAGGCTGTAGTCTAACCTGCCCTTTGCCTTTCTCTCTTGCTTTTGGGCTGGTAGTTTTGCCCTGGGTCTCAGGCATGATGTCAGTCCTCTCTGAAACATGATGTGGAAAGCTTGAGGAAGACCTGAGTTGATTGCATCTGTTTGCTGCTCAGTGTAATAGCGTGCACTTTCCCATGCGAGGGCTTTCCCAGAAACAAAGACATTTCTTCTCTGGAGAGATGACCGCACAGATAGTTTGCCTCCGAGATGTCCAGGGCCATTGCACAGAAGTTATTATGTGCTCAATTTGTCAGAGTCACCACTTGCATCCTACCCAAATTCTCCCATTCCTCCTTCTCTGTTTGCCCATGACCCGTGGAGTGTTTGTGCCTGTCCTGAGAAACTAGGCCCTGAGCTCTCTCATGATCGTTCTTGTACCCTTACTACACTTGATGTGTCTCTTAAATCTCTTAATGTCTAGACTCTCTTTCTCTCTCACTCTTTTTTTCCTCTTTATTGCTTGTTTTCCTTGCATCTTAAAAAAATCAGATTCTTCAACAAGGTAGGTACATTTTTGTAAACTCCTATGGTGCTGTGCCCCCAAGCTCTAGGCAGGTTTCCACAGTAGCATCTCCCTTAAGGAGCAATGTAACATTTGGAGTCTTGACCCTTAGTTGCTACTTCATGTGTAGGGATATGGTTTTTAATGGTACTAGGCAATTCATAATTCATGAAAATGTATTTACCCTGTCCCATTTAATTGTAGCTTAAAGATCATACCAAGTATAAAACACCTTGCAGAATCGTACCTTGGCAAAGAACTGTATACAGTAGAAATCAATGGTTAAAAACAAACAAACAAAAAAGAAATCAGTGCTTCACAAAGTTGTAGTATAGCTATGTTTTTCTTTGGTTTGTTCTATTATCTTACAAAGCATTAGCACACTTTTATATTCATAGTACATTTTTTTCCTGGGGAAAGAAATGAAGCATTCTCCTCCCCGTATATGTGCGCACGAACACACACACACATACACACACACATACACACACACACATCAACTTTGGCTGGTTAGAAATCTTTTCACCACAGAAAATACAAATATTACTTTTCTAAGTTGCTGCAAATTAGGAAAACTCTAAGAGGAAATTTTGGACAGAACAAGCACTAAAGAGAAATAGAGTGGATGGAGAGGGAAAAAATACATTTTAGAAAACATAAAATATCCCACTAGCAGTTCCACAATCATGTTAAAATGTTGGGGCAGTTCAAACCCAAACACAGAAATTCTTGAGGATTTTGTAAAAGTATGGATCCCTAAGGTGTTTCCTTGAGGTGAAAGATAGTTCCAACTTGAATTTTCCCCTAGAGGAAGGGAAAGTCATGGCACGTGTGTTTCTCTCTTGATCCTTTGAAGTCAAGGAATAGAAGTCAAGTCATGCCAAGAACAAAATACTACAGAAAGCTATGAATTATTTTGAAATGTTTTGGGTGTTATGTATTTAAAATCTGAGCATATATGACTTAACTATTCATGAAATATATAAAATGACTCATAACACATACTTTAAGCTTGCTCATGTAGGAAATACATCACATTGAGCAGACCTAAAACAGAGCAAACAGTACTTAAAAATTAACAATTTACATCAGAGTTCTAAGCTCTACTATTAAAGTGGTTATTACATGCCATTTAGGATTGTCAAAAACTTAGAGTTGCTGAGCTTATATGTGATTTTTCAGACTTTGCTTTATAAGTCTAAATCTTGAAACTGGCTTCTTCTGCTTTATAGTCTTCTTAACTCATAAAATTACAAATCATATGCTTTTAGTCAGAGTTTCTCAATTGCATTACAGTAGACCTTTTAGGCTAGATAATTCTTTCTTGTGGGAGCTGACACTGTAAGGTATTTAGCAGTATCCCTGGTCCTTTACCCACCAGATGTTCAGTCACACCCCTTGTGGTTGTGACAACCAAAAAATGTCTCTAGATGTTACCAAGTGTCCCTGAAGAGCAGCAAAACCTCCTGTGACAGTGCATCACTTGTCTCAATGACATGAAGAGATTATCAGTACTTTTTTGTAGCAGAGCATAATAGCACTCCAAAGATGTCCATGTCCAGTTCCTAGAACTTGTAAATACATTATCTTATATGACAAAAGAGCCCTTAAAAAAGAGTCTAAGGACTTTGGAACAGGAAGATTATCCTGAATGACTTTGGTGGCCTTGAATAATCATAAGGGTCCTTATGAGTGGAAGGGAGAGCTGAGTGTGGTGGTGCCTGGCATTCCAGCACTTTTAGAGGCTGGAAAATCACAAGTCCATGTCCAGCCTGGACAATTTAATGACTTTAGTGAGATCTTGTTTTAAAAATAAAAAGTAATAATAGGTGAGAATGTAGTTCAATGTGAAGGCCTTGGCCTTCAGTACCAAAAATGGATGGATGGATGGATAGGTGGGTGGAGGGATGGATGGATAGATGGATGGATGGGTGGGTGGATGGGTGGAAGGGTGGGTGGGTGCATGGGTGGAAGGGTGGGTGGCTGGATGGGTGGATGGGTGGGTGGGTGGATGGATGGGTGGATGGGTGGATGGATGGATGGTTGGATGGATGGGTGGATAGATGGATGGATGGATGGCAGGGAGCAGAGTGTCAGAGTTAGAGAGAGAAATATGACAACAGAAGCAGAGGTCACAATGATGCAGCTATAACCCAGGGAACATATGCAGCTAGAAAGCAGAAGGAACAGTTGTCTCTAGAGCATCCCGAAGAAACCCAGCTCGGCCAAGCCTTCCTACAGTTTTGACCTCCAGAACTAGCCGGTAATAGATTAGTGTTATTTTAGGCCACCGAACTTGTGGTGACTTATTACAGCAGCAATAGGAAACCAAAATACCCTTCCATAATTCTTTTATATTAAGGCAGCCATTGAAGAATTAAAACGTGCGCACACACACATACATCAGTGTTTGCTGTTAAACTGCTATTTTTTTTCTTTTACTAAATTGAAGTTTTCAATGTACAAGGACAAGAAAGAAAGTTAAATGGATCTCTGAAGGAGCACTGTACTTTGAATATATCCTCTCCAAATCTCGGATGTCACCAGTGCATATTAGGAGGGGGTATAGTTGAGTGATTAGGCCATGAGCACCTCTCTTTTACCTAATAAAGGAACTTGAGGGAGGGCTTGAGTCTCTTTGCTCTTCCACCTTCTGCTTTGTGAAAAACGCAGTGGGAAGTCCCTCATCAGACGCCAGTGCTTTGATCTTCGACTTCCCAGCCTCCTGAACTAGGAGGAAGTAAACTGCTGTTCTTTCTAAGTCATCCAGTCTCAAATAATTTTTTACAGCAGCACAAAACAGACTAAGACCAGAACTAAG